TGGGTCTAGCACCCATTGGACGATCAGGCCTGTGTTTTCCAAGGTGCGCAGAGCCAGAAGTGAGTCCAGAGCCTTGGATGGTGGCAGCGGGAACCCCAGGCTAGCGGGTGTGCTCCAGGGAAGGGGTTGGCCAGACGGGAGGCACCCTAAGGGAGGCACTCGGAGCCTGGAAGGTGGTCGGGAGCAGGGAGGTGGGCGGCTCAACGCAGGAGCGCCCCCTACTGGCCCGCCACAGTACAGTATGCATCAGCATTGAGAAAATGGCAGGTGGTGCGCTTTGAACTAAAACACATTTGACGTGCTTTAGTTCAAAGCGTATTGCTGCCATTTGCATGCTGCACCACTTACACACCTGCACCTGACACAGCACCAGATGTTTTTCATTAGGGCGTATTGCTAATTTAAAGTGCCCGATGAAGTGTCAGGAGCCTATGTAAAAATGCCTATGATTCTATTCTATAATTCTGTGAATAACCCAAAATTTGTCTTTTTTCTCCAGTGCTCTGGGACTCATGGGTCTGGGCTTGTCACTTACCATGTGTTATATCTAGTAGGGGTATCATTGTCCCTAATTCAATTCAGCCAAATCCGAATCTGAAGATTCAATGCTGAGTTTGGACTAGATTCGGAGAATCAGCACTTTGGACATAGGCACAGTTTTAAACGTTTTTTCTACATGCCTCAAGGTACCAGCATGGCTCGTGCAAGCTGCAATGCTGGGGCAGATGGAGCATCACACAGGAGTGTGGAGGGGCCCTCCACTTGCTTGGCAGCAAAGCCAGAAGTGGAACAGAAGTACTTCCAGTGGACCGGAAGTACGATTAGCCGTGGGGGGACCCCAGGTCCCCTCCCCAGACCCAGGAGGCACCAGTCACTGAGCCAGGGGAGCACGGGAGGCCCCTGCATGCTCCCTGGCAAACCCAGAAGTTTTTTCTACGTGCCTCAAGGTACCAGCACGGCTTGTGAAAGCTGCGATGCTGGGGCAGATGGAGCATCCCACAGGAGTGCAGAGGGGTCCTCTGCTTGCTCGGCAGCAAAGCCAGAAGTGGACCAGAAGTACTTCCAGTGGATCAGAAGTATGATCAGCCATGGGGGGACCCCAGGTCCCCTCCCCAGACCCAGGAGGCACCAGTCACTGAGCCAGGGGAGCACGGGAGGCCCCTGCATGCTCCCCGGCAAACCCAGAAGTGGACCAGAAGTGCTTCTGGTCCACTTCCAGGTCTGCTGCCAAGTGCACTGGGGAGCCCCCTGTGCTTCTGTGGGACACTCTGTGCACCCCAGCATTGCAGCATTCAAGAGCCACCTGCTACCTGGAGGTATGTAGAAAAAACATTTAAAGCTGTCTCTATGTCCAAATCTCTGAATCTTTCTGAATCTTTCCAAATCAATTTGGATGGTTCCAATTCAATTCGGAGAGATTAAAGGGTCCCCTGATTCAATTCGGATTCTGCCACCAAATTGAGCCAAATATCCACCAAATTGAATCAGGGACCAAAGCTTCACACACCCCTAATATCTAGATCCTAGTAAGCATTAATAAGCAACTTAGAAAGTTTACTAAGTTGCACATTAATGGTCACTAAGCACCAGAGTCTTGGTCCAGTTTCCATGCAGTCCAAGGCCTGAGAATAGAAATCAGCTACATTTTCGGTTAAGACCACGGGACCCACCAGACCCAGCGGACTGTGAGTCCCAAACCTATGACCATAATTAATCATCTTATTTCCATGGAATGGTCCCACATTAACGTACCACATGTTACTTAATATGGTCAAGAAATACTCCTCACTTGAAAAGGCCTAAATTTGCTACATTATGGGAATATTTAGCACCTGTAACCCCGATTGAATGCTCAGATGCCAGCATTTTAAGTGCACTTAATGTGTTCTAATGGTAACTTCAAAACCCACTTAGGAACATTGAACACATTTAGAATTTCTGAAGAAATGAAATATTCTGCTCCTAAACCTGCCAACTAAACTACCCTTGTTTGCCTCTGTCTCAGTGAATTTTCATGGGGTTCATTACAGTTCTCATGTGCGTCTTCAGTTTCATTCCACACCAATGAATTTTTCAGCTTCCAGAGCTATTTGAATTTTCCAGTGGATTACACTTTGTTTCTTTTACACCTTACCATTGTAATTGTTAAAAGAAAACACTTCCTGAAGTGAAGCTGTGCAGGTAAAAGGAGCAAAGACAGAACATCTACTTCTGTTCCTGAGACGTATGTCACCAAGACTTCCACATCTGTTGATCTAACCCCTACCACTCTGCATAAGCTTACAGAGAAGGATATAAGGAGCTCCAGGTCCCCTTACATACTTACCCTGGGCACCATAGATCCTGACAGTGATCAGCAAAAGCAGGCACAGCAACATTATCCCAAGTATCAGTGGAATGGGGGACCATGGGGAAGATCCTGGGGCTGGCTCTAAAAGAGAGGGAGAAGAAAAACACAAAAGAGATGACAGGGAAACGCATCCCACCTATGAAGTGAGGGTGGGCTGGAGTGCACTGGAGCATTTCCTGAACCTAGAAGCCAGAATACAACAAATCACAGAAGAAGACTCCTCAAGAGTGTCCCCCTCACTGGACAGTCCCTGTGACAGGACAGCAAGGAGGATGTTTTGGTAGAAGTGTGTGCATGGAGCTGCTGGAGCTGGAAGTCAAGCAGTTTTTGCTCCCTCTTCCAGCCCTACCTCTCAGTTAGAAAACTCTCCCTGGGTTAGGAGATGAATTCCAGGTAGCAGTCCCAGATAGATGCATGTGACCCTGTACAACACGGGGTGGAGTTCACCAGATTATTCTGCACAACAGACCAGTGCAGGGTTGGATTCAGGAGATGACCTGTGCCCTGGCAGGACTGTAGGCAAGAGCAACCACAGCCATTTCCTTCATGTACTGGAGCATTCTTGGCACAAGGGAGCGAGCAAACAGCACTGAGGGGAGAGCTGGGGTATCTTCCTTCTATCTTGTTCTATCATGTACTACCGTGACATAGGGGAATCGCAATGGCTGGGCTCTCATCTGAGCCAAGTGCACTTGATTGCCCCACAGCCCCTCCCTGCCCCACGCAGTACCTGTGCGCCCAGCATGCTGCGGCGTCTCTCTCTGCAGCTCTGGAGGAGTTTCTAGTCTGAGCTCTGATGAGGTGCCCTCCTGCCCACGCATTTCCAGCAGGTCCAGTGCAGCTGGTTTAGACATGGCTAGAAGTGATTCAGGCCTGGGCTGGGCTGGGCTGGGATGAGAGGAGGAATTGGTGGGTCTGTGGGCATTTGCCCACATTACACCTCTCCTGTTACCACATTATGCTTTTCCTGTGTCCATGAGACAAAAAAATCACCATTAAGATAACTAAATAGCATCTGTGTATCCATGCTGTCAACTGATTTATTGTTTTAGATTTTTTTTTATTGTGGTAATTTAAAACACCTCTGACATGTTTTATTTTTAGCTCCTGAATTTCTTCCATGAGGGTTTTTTTATTGTTTTAAATTTTCAACATGGATCTGACCTATACCCGAAAACGTGGTTTTCATAGATTTCATAGATTTCATAGACATGAGGGCTGGAAGGGGCCAAGGGAAGATCATTGAGTCCAGCCCCCCACCCAAGGGGCAGGAAGTCAGCTGGGGTCATAGGATCCCAGCAAGATAAGCATCCAAATTTACCTTGAAGGTGTTCAGTGTGGGTGCTTGAACCACCTCTGATGGCAGGCTATTCCAGACCTTCGGGGCTCGGACAGTAAAGAAATTCTTCCTTATATCCAGCCTGAAACAGTGTTGCTCGAGTTTATAACCATTCAACCTTGTCATCCCTTGGGGCACTCTGGTGAACAATCGTTCCCCCAGATCCTGGTGAACATCCCTGCTTTGCAACTATGACACCCCCAGGTGCCACTTGGTTTCACTTGATAATCCATGGAAATACATTGACTTTCTATTACAAAACTTCAACAAGACTCCAGGGGCTAATCTTGCAAATTTTTACTGGTGATTTCAGTGGCAACGTGTAGGGGGTGCATGGGAATGCATGTGTACCCTCTGAGAGAGTTGGTGCACCCCCTGACAGGACGCACTCCCTGCTTAGGTGACAGGTGGGGGAACAGGCAGGAGTGCCGGTGCCCCCACAGTGAGCACTGCCCAGGGACTAGGAGCACCAGATGAAGTGCTGCAGGCACTTCTGGGAGCACCGCAGCCACGTCCAGGAGTGCCACAGCTGCTTCCTGGTTGTCGTAATCGGCCACAATGGGACTCCACCCCAACCTGGGTTGCATGTGCCCCCTCTGACTAGGGTGGCACCAGTTGCCCATGGGTGATTTAGTTCAAGGTTCAAATTAATGAAAAATACAACTTTTTTGGATTCCAAAAAAAATTGTTCCCCGTGTTCACATGCACTTTGTGGCAAAGATCAAATTGTTATGGGTCAGGCAGTTCAAGACTCAAGTTAATTAAAATTACTTTTTGTTGAACTGGGTTTTTGGTTTGGCAGGGCTGAGGGGTGCAGGTCAGGAGTGAGAGGGACCGGCAGGGCTGAGAGGGTAGCGTAACCTGGGTGGTAAATGTAACCCAGGTGGTACTCAGATGAGGTACCCCCTCTCCAAATGAAGGTGTTTAGCAGGTGTTAGCATGCTATGGGAGGGGAAGCTGCTTATGGGGGAGCAGCTTTCCTCCTATCCGTTACAGAGTAGAGCCAAGACCAACTGGAACTTAGCCATATACAGTTTAATAGGGAAAG